TAATCCTATACTAAGTTATTCTAGACTATTTTAACCTATTTACCTACTAAACTATAAGGTAAATACCTTAAAGGAACGATTATTCGTATTATTAAGCCCCTATACGGTATTATAGAAGCTAGAGTCTATTAGTTTCGTATATATTAGCAATATTATATCTAAGACCTTAATATATCTATATTAATATATAACTCCTGCCTTTTAATTATAAATACCGACCCCGATACGTTTAGCATTATTAGAATATAGACTAATAATACCCTTATGCTTAGAACTAATAGCTTTTCTGCCTATAAAGAAGAAAAGCTCGAGGATATATAATTTCGAGCAAAGCTAAAGACGTCGATAACCTTAGGAACAATAGTTAATTTTAATAGTATAAAACTAACCCTACTAGATATAGGATCCCTATTACTTTAGCGGAAGGGATAAGTAGCTAAGATTACTACTATTAACCCGAAAGCATTTAATCGATACTAACGCTATGTCTAGGAAAGAGCCCGAGGATTATACGTTGCTTTAATCTATTAACCCGAAGCTTTATTCGATATCTTAGTTATAGCTTAAATCTAAACCCCTAATAATAAGGATTATACTATCCTAAATAAGCGCTTACAATAGCAAATAGATTATTAATAACGAGGCCTTACGTATAAGCTAATTAATCTAGCTACCGTAAAGCTTATTATTTTTACCGATAGATCTTTTACGAATAATAAGGACCTATCCTCCTAGCTAGGATTCGTTATTACGCTCGTTAACGAGACTAATAATAGAGATAAATAGTTTAAGATCGAAGGCAATATCGTATATTAGAGTTCGACTAAGTATAAATATATTACCCGCAGCGTTCTTGCCTTAGAGATCTACGGGATAGTTAACGGATTCGATATCGGAATATCGCTTATAACGACTTTAAAGATAATTATAGACCGCCTTAGATTTCCTTCTATCCCTCTTATCGTCTATACGGACTTATATTCCCTTTACGAATGCCTTATTAAACTAGGCACGACGAAGGAGAAACGATTAATAATCGATATTATAGCCCTTCGTTAGTTATACGAGCAACGGGAGATTACGGAGATTCGTTAGATTAACGGTGCAGATAACCTAGCTAATGCTATAACGAAGGCATTACTAAACTAAGCCCTCGAACGCTTTATCGATACTAATAGTCTAATAATTCGAATAGAAGGATATATCTCGCGCCCCTAATCTATCGAGTGGCTTACGATTAAATTGTTCCCATAGTTAAAGGGCTCTATTTCCCCTTTTTAGTTATCATAACCGACCTATTTAACTAGGTCCTTCCGGTTTGCATGGTTCGTTGTCATGACCTACCTAACTAGGTCTTCTTACCTCGTTCGTTATAGCAGCTGCAACCACAAAAGAAAAGTTGCCAGTGTGGGAATTGTAGTAACCCATTGTACTCATCTAGCTAGCTCACGTGCGCTATCACGTGTACGGCTGAGGATAGCTGAGGCCACATAGCTAGCTTCGTGGCCTCCTCCCTCCCTAGAAGATCATAGACGATTACAACACACCAGTTACCTCTATCATCTATGCATGCATGCATTGAGACCTACCAACAGTTGACGTGGAATTGATTACCACCCTGTTAGCATGTAGATACCTACTAGCTCAGCACGTCCTGTGTTCCCTCGCTGAGACCTGAGCAGCCAAAAACTGCTGGACGGAAAATACACTAAACTAAACTAAACTAAAGCTTCAATGCGTGGTCAACGTTCAAGGCGTCGGCGTGGATTGAAGCTCTCAATGTGCAAGTGAGATTGAATTGACTGAATTGAAACACGTGACTTCCACTTCAATATTATTGAAGACGTGGAGGTGGAGGTGGAATTAATCGCCACCCTGCCTTGGAGGGATACAAAAGGGGCTGTTGGACGGGAAAAGGGCAACCGGGAGCAGAGCAATCAACACATGCACATCACAGACTATCAGATCATCTGGGAATCTACCTACGAAAAGTCCCTTTATTCACTTTTATGCCCACTTTTGATCTCTCCTTCGCGGGACAAGTACACGACATTAAAAATAGATTGCGAACCCTCACCTTCCCTTCTTACTCTTTCCTACTAACATGCCAGCTTTATGCTTGGGCCCCAAGTCGCAGGCACCGTTTTAGCCGCCGTAGATAGGACCCTAAACACTTTAGGAACAACCTTTAAGCCTTCCCGCCTAACACGGATAAACATAAATATATATCAATTCTGTGATAATTTGGAACTGTAAGAGGCTGGCCCGGAGTTTATTCAACAAGCAGGTGCCTAGGTGTTGTCTGTCTAGAGCTGAGGAGGAAAGAAAGGAGAGCTCAAGGCGCAGCCTCGAGTGCGAGCTTATATCGCCTATCGTAGAATGTTCTCGTAGCAGCCAGCTCCGCAGAGTGGGGCCGGAGCATGATCCACCGGACCCGGTACAACCGGGTCCACCAAGCCGGGCACAGCCCGTGACAGGAACCCTGTGCTTGGGTGTTGTCTATCTAGGAGGGCCCAATAGAACCTTCAAAAACGTACACCAACAAGTTCGAGTCGCCGCCACAACTGACTTTCTTCATGCCAGAGCATTCGCTTATACAATCTTTTCCCTCCTCGAGTTTCTTTGCGCCAGACCTATTCAAATCAACCTGGGAGCCGCAATAACACTCACGGCCAGACTCTAAGCCAGCATACTTAAAACCAACTCTCTGACACATATAGACGCATGTATGGGGGGTCATATCGTCATAGTGAAACTCAGGCTCATGATAGTGGAAAGTCCGCTTGTCGTGATTGTTCTTATAGCAGCCGTGGAATTTCCATTGAGTAATTGGGCTTATGACCTTGGGAGGAGCCTTGGCGGTGGCAGCTGCTATAATAAAAAAAAGGATGAGAATCTTAGGTTGCATTATGAATTTGATAATAGAAGAAAAACAGGAAAAATTTTAGGCTAGTTAGAGGGAGAGGGTATTTAAAACCGTTAAAGAAAGAAAATTGCTTAGTTATATAAGAAAATCTCGCGGGAGAATAGTATTAGTACGCTACATAGCGCTGATCAGAGTCCAGTGATCGGAATGGTCTGGTCTGGTCTCGGGGGTCAGACCAACAAGACCGCCAATGAGGCTGACGTAAGGCAAACAGAAGATGTGACATCTGCTGTAATGTATGTATGTATGTGTATTTCACCCGGAGGATTTCTCCTATAGGGCCTAGACGTAAAAGCTACTGACATTTCAATACATTAATGCGTAACACCTTAAGCCCCACGGGTTAGCATACGCTTCACTAACCTCGCCGCTACTCGCTCTATAATAGGCCTGCTTAAAAGCTAATTTCTCTAAGTGTTTAGCGTCCTACCTTTAGCAGCTAAAGCGCGGTCTATCGAAATCCGAAGTCGAATACCTATATATTAGTATTATTAAAGGTTAGTGCTATAATCGATCCTAAGTAGATTCTTACTTCCGCTGCTTAGCCCGAAGGGCTAAACGCTGCCTACGTCTTATCCCTAGGGTTCCGCGCCCGATAGTTCCGGCTATACGATTCGTGTGGTCTACCGTAGGGCACGCACTTTAGCACTATCTCCTTACATTCTCTATAGTAATATTCTACTTTCGCGTATCTACTATATCTTTACGGCTTCTTATATAAAAACGCCTTATATCCTATCTCTTAATAGTTAAAGCACTAAATCGGTCCTACGCGGCGTTTAAAAATATTAGTATAGGCGGACTCTCCTATAATATCGAACTATACGCCGTCTAGAAGTCTTTGCGCGTTACTCTCTTTAGTAATATAGATTACTATTAACCCGTATGCTTTAGCTTTCTCTCTATTGCTAAGCTAGGTGATCTTAGTAATCGCGACGTAATTCTCGGCTCCGAGCGCCTTAGCTGCGCCCGGTAGAACGTTGCCTTCGGCGTCTAGCACTACGGTACGCTTAGTGTTATCGACTTTAATAGGGTAAAGCTGATCTCTTAGTACCCTAGCTCCCGAAGTTACCGTCTTCTGCGCTGCTTCCTTAACCTACTTTAACTCGGTTTAGTCTCTATATAAAATTTTAATCTAGTCCGGGTTTCGAGCGTCTATCACGACCGCTATATATTTCTAAGTCTCCTACCTCTAACTCTTTCTTATATCGCTCTCTATAGCCTTTCGGATATTGCCGATCTACGTCTAGCACCTATTCGCTTCTTCGACTTATAATATATCTACCGTATAGTAGAGACTATTACTAACGGCTATTCGTGCCGATTTAGCTACTAGTACGGTGCCTTAGTTTATTATCTAGATCGTCGGCGATAACCCTATAGCGCTCGTATATAATATCTATAGACTGCTCTATAGAGAAGATACGGGCGTAGCTAGGGTCTCTAACTACGCTCGGATATAACGAAGCTTATCTCTTATCTCTTTCCCTTATTAATCTATTTCCTAGATTATCTACTATTGCTTAGATATAATCTCGTTTTACGTATCTATCGCTCGGCTAAGCTTTTGCGTTTCTTAACGTGACTCGCTTAAGAGTTCGAGAACTTTCTAGAGCATGGCTCGGCCTTCGTTCGCGCTACTACTACTGCTGGCAACTTTACGTCGCTTAGTCGCGTTACTAATAGCGATATTATCCGAGGCAATGCGCGTTGTAAGCCTAGTTGCGCGTATTGTCTTCTCCGCTAGATCGTCGGGCTATCGCGCGGCTTCTCGAATTTTGGTGCTTGGCCTCACGACGCGTGTCGATCTTTTCGCGGGTGTCGACGCAGGCGACGCGCTTCGCCCCACTATGATCACGGCCTTAGCCGGCGTCTCTATGATGAGGCCCCTCAATGCCTAGCTGGCGTTCGCTTCAGGCTTCTTGTCGAGTTCGTCGGATCCCCCCCTCTCTTGTCCGACGTTCATCTGCTGGAACGTAACGTAATCCACCCCCTTCCCGGTCAGACCCCCTACTCGGTCAGAAAAATTCCCCACCGCCGCGACCCACACTCATGGCAACACAAACTGAGCACAATGACGGCGACGGGAGACCAATCGGTTCCACGCGAAGAACGGGTCCTGCTCGCCGTCAGGGCCTATCAGCAGGGCCAATTCGAAAGTACGCGCAAGGCTGCGGCCGCATACGACGTCCCTCAATCGACAGTATCTGATCGACTGCGCGGTGTCATTCGCCGACGCGACGCTCAGGTGAACAACCTAAAGTTGACAGCGACGGAAGAGACTGCCCTGGTTCAATGGATCTTGTCGATGGACGAGCGAGGGATGCCGCCGACAATGGCTTACACTCGTCGGATGGCCAACTGTCAGAGGGAGCAGACTGACGGTCTAATCCGCACACGTAAAATATGCTGACACCCTCACCGGAGGTGGGGAGGGTGTAATTGTCGAGAAGAAGGTCCGAACGAGTTGAGGTCTCTAGGTCTCTCTAGGTAATACAGCTTGAAACCAGGTAAGGAGGGAGGTCTGCAGACTGTTATCTCTTCTTCCTAGACCACTGAGGGGTCCGGAGGATCTCCTATCCGAATGGGGACCTTCTAAGGAGTCCGGTATATCTCTTACTGGCTCGGGGACCTCAAGAGACTGAACTATCGACCTAATAGCTTGGAAAGCTATTGATCGGGGAGATCGAGCTGAATGTGCTGACGTAGATGACTTACGCGGCCTTCAGTAAGAGGCAAGAAGTGCCCTCTTCCTGATAGAATGTATATTCTACCTGAACACGGGATATGAACATAGGGAAGGCATAGAGGGATATAAAGGGGGAGGGTTAGACGGATACAGGGCAACCGAACAGAGCAATCAACACATGCATTCTCGCATACCATCTGATTATATGATACTCGACCTTCGAAAAGTCCCTTTATCCACTTCTATGCCCACTTTTGCTCTCTCCCTCGCGAGAGTTATGAGCCCGGGAGGGGATGGCACACCACCCCTGCAACTTCCGGTAACTGCGCGCGGTGCGGGGTTCAATCCCCCGTAGGCAACTACCTCTCTTGGATTTCCTTGGGTTATTGGCGCGGCGCTTGGTGTTCGACTCCCGCGTCTTGGGCTACGGGCCAGGGCTCCCGGCGGAGCCGCGATCCCTGAGGGGGTGTGTCGGAAGACGCGGTTGCCAGATATGTATCATTTACAGCGCACCTGTCGGAGCGCGTTCCACTTTTGCCTGCGTGGCGCAATGGTCTTCGCGACAGTAATACAGTCCGAAGGAAGTTGTCGATGGACTGTTATTCTGGTACTCATGAGGTAGGGGCAGCACAAGAAGGGATAAAGATGCATGATCTAGCCAGAAAGAGGCGGCCACGGGGCCCTATTTATGCCGTAGTCAGAGGGACCCTCAGGTGACTTACATAGGCACCAAGCTGGCCCCATACGTGAGGTCTTTAGGGGTCCCCGATACATGGCCTCATAATGATCCTTCAGGTGGCCCTCCCTTGATCCTTCAGGTGACCTACTAACAGCGGTGCCTATACTAGCCGACAGATGTATTCTATGACATGATTCAGTCCGAAGGACTTTATTACAACGATAACTCCCTACTACGACGACTTGCATCGAAAAAGCTCCACTCATCACGGATTGGCCAGTTGCTGCTCCACTCATCACGGATTGGCCAGTTGTGGTTCCACTAAATGCGGATTGGCCAATTGCGTCCCCATAAGTGTTGTCGGCCTGCCAACGACGGACGCAGTGGTTCCTGATTCTTCCACACCAACCTGTGCCGTCCAATCCAGCAGTCATGGCTGATGCTATCGCTTCAACGAAGGCTTGCAGGAACTGCAAGAAGGCGAAGTCGGCAGATCAATTCATTTCGAAGAAAAAATCGTCTATATCATGTGGAAAACCTACGGTTGACTGTCTCGACTGCAGGAATCGGCAGCTTTCACGTGCCCCTAAGCGTACTGCAGAACAAGCTGCGTTATCCCCAATACGTCGAGGAGGATTACCATTGATAAGCTTGCAATTAGGCACACCAATCATCTCAGAAGAATCTATTCAGCTGGGAACTCCAATTGCTGCGCCAACACCAGCAGGCACGCCGATTACTTCGCAGCCAGGTCCCTTGATTCCCAACAAGGTGTACGGCTTGGAACTCCGATCGAATCTACGGCATCGAGTCCTTCTATTTGGCCAAGACCAGTCCGATATACACATTCTAGCCCGCACGTGCCGCTGCGGCAGTCGGCTATCGAGCGACCGGTGGTGGAATGTCGAGATTTCGAGCTTCCGGATCCTGAATGGATGGGTGATCGATCTGTCGCATTGCCCGTTATCTAATCAAGATAAGGACCTCCTAACGGAGTTCTGGACGGAGCTGGGAAATGACCGAATGGAACATTGCGCCCGCTGTTAGGAGATATGGTTTAATATGGGCTTAAAGAACGGCATTTGCAAGCGTTGCATCGCTAGGGACAAGAACAAAAAGGAGGATAAGCCTTGGTTTTTTTTAGCCGAAAATTAGTTAGATTTTGGCTCAATCCCTACGTTCCTCCCCTAATTAACGAAAGTAGAAGAGATACTAATTGCTCTAGTTTATATATTCGTAAACGTTATATAGGTTCGAGGGCAGCAATATAAATATCGTGGCTATATTATGCACTTTCTCCGCGATGTTAGCAAGGTATATCGACAACTTCCCCTTTTACCGTCTAAATTAGATATTATCTTACTACGTCCTCCGAATGCGGGTAAATATGCCCACCTTAACCGCTAGTTTAGACGCCAGTTCCGCGTGCGCCGTCGTTATCTTTAGCAGTAGCTAGACTTCCTATCTTATAACTACCCGGGCTACCGGGATATTACTATCTACTAGAAGCGAATGTTAGTGCTACCCGAAGATAGCGATATACTTAATTAGGTTGCTATTATAGAAGTCTCCGATCCTCTAGCAGGTAATTTAGGTAATATCGAGAATAACGATATTAAGGCAGATAAGGTTAATTAGTCTATAGTGCTAGATCTACTACTAGAGGATATAGAGATAGAAGCATTGCACTCGCACGTTCTTAGCGACGAGCACGACGCACCACCCCCTATACGACCAGCGACATAACATTAGCTTAAAATGCTAGATATTCGGAGAACACCGATAAACGAATTTAACTAGTTATAGGCACTCCTATCCCTAGCCTTTCTAATACTATTTCCTCGCGGTTAAGCTAATTTTATCGAGCTAAGGTTACGGCCTATTAAATATACGGACTATATATAGCATGCCCTTCGATAGTATAATAGTAGATTTGCCTGCTATCCTACTTTCCGGTTTATGGTTTTTAATAAGCTAATACGAGTATAGGTACGAGAGAAAAGCAGCTACTTCGTTAAGCAATACTAATAACGGCAGGGCCTACTAACGCGAGATAATCTACTTAAGGCTTTCTAGAACCCTAAATCTATAGAAGCCTAGTAGTTGCTTAACTCTATTAACCGCTAGACAGCATAGCTTCGCGGGACGCGCCCGTATTAGTACCGAAAGCGCCGAGAGCTCGAGTCTTACGCCTATAACCTTCGCTGTCTAGGTGCTTTTATTATATTTAGCCCGGCAGACTTATACTAAAGGAGCCTCTATTAGTATTTACCCTAGTTTTAAGACTAGTAGGAGTTGCCCGAGCAACAACGAATAGGCATATCTAGCAGACTCCTCCGTGACAACCTATATATTGCAGCCTAGCACTTCTATAGGCGGATTAGTTTATTTAGAGATATCGTTCTTAAGTAGAAATTTAATATTACTAATTTTTAGAATAGGTATAAGTAGTAGGGTCGTAGAAGTAGCTATTGCCACGGCCTATACTAGATAGATAGTGCGCTTAGTGTTAACTTAGAAAGGGAGCATATATATAAAGAGTTCGCCCGTGTCTAGAGTTTCTACGTTATAGTATTTAATCCTAAGCTAGCCCGAGTCTAATAGTAAGGAGAGGGCAATCCCTTAGCTATAAATCCACTATAGTATCCCTTAACGTTCTAAAGGCTCTTATAAATTCTAAATCGCTGCTAACGCTACTATTATAGTAAGATATACTGACTACGAAAGAAGAAGGGTTTAGACGAGATTAATTACCGCTTTTTCTTCCCCTAGGATGCGAGAGATACGGCTAACGTTATTCGACGCTAAGGACACTCCTATTTCTCCTTCGAGGCGGCTAGGAATAATAGCCTTATAAACTACTATAACCGGTATCTTAGTCTTAGCTAGTTAGCTAATATTAATATCTCCCCCTATACTAGCCTTTAAGCCGTTATTAATTACGTAGCTAAGTATTATAGTAAGATAGAGAAGTAGACCGATAGTTATATAAGCCTAGGGCAGCAAATCTTACCCTACGTCTCCTACTAGAATCTACTTCTTTCTTTTGCCTCGCGTCTAATAAATAAGCTGCTTACTAAAAGGGACTTCTCGGGCTAAGAGATCTACTATATATTACTTAACTACGAGCTCTAGGAAGGTACCCGTGTTATAAGAGCCGTTGATTGCCGTCCCTACGAGTAATAGGGCCGGTCGCTTCGCCTCTAAGGTAATTATAATAACGACGCTAAGGTCGTTAGGATATATAAGAAGTATCTTTCTCGCCCTTCCCTTTATAAAGAACTTACTTACCTTAACTTCCTAGCTAACTAGAATATAAGTAAGAGGGATAGGAGAAAGTAGATACGTTAGAGTCGTTAAGCTAAGCCTCGAGTACTATACTACTTTCCGCGGTATAAGTCGAATCCGTAGTATTACTAATACGATGATTTTTATCGGGTAAAGCTAATACTTACTTACCCTTATCGCGATCCTAATAAACTACGTAAGATTAACGGTATCGAGTATAACTCGTATATATCTACCGCCGAATTCTATTTTACGAACTACTAGCACCCTAATAATTACTATAGCATACTTAATGCCGAAGACCGTTGACCGGATCCGGATAAGTTCGAGGAATAATTTTACGAGCCTAACCTTCTAGAGGAGGACTAGCTTAAGCTTGCCCGCTAGCTTCCCGACTACCTACTAAGCTAAGAGATAGTAGATCTCCTAGGTAGACGGGATATCGATATCTAATATAATTAGATACCCTACGTCGGTCGCTACGCTAATCTAGGTATCGTTTAGGGCGATTATTAGCGCTAGCGTATTACGTAGAATCCTCTCTATATAGATATTAAAGACCTTCCTTTCGAGGTCCGTGATACGCTTAACCTAGAGCAGCGGATCGTATACGATATATTCGTTGGATACTTCTAATATAGCAGCGAGGAGTAGATTCTACTCTATATTAACGGTGGTAGCGGTATAGGTAAGTCCTACCTTATTAAAGTCCTATCTTCGCATCTTTAGGGGCTTGCCGGTAACCCGCCTAGTCTAATCTAGAGAGCTATACCTACGGGTGTTGCAAGCAACTAGATAATAGGAATAATATTATA